AGACCTCTTCATAGACACCAGTTTTGCATCGTTTGGGCAACTGTCTGAAAGGTTCGGTCTCCCTAGGTCTCACTTTTTCAGATACTTACAAGTAAGACACTTCCTCCACTGTCAGATACCAAATTTCCCCCAGATACCAGACATCAGCACCGCTGAGGCTCTTCTCAATCTACAACCATTATGCAAGGGTCTGGTTTCCATTATCTACGATAAGCTGTCGGGTATAAGGCAGGCCCCACTTAATACTATTAAAAGCGCATGGGAACGGGATCTGAATCTTACCCTGTCAGCCGATGCGTGGGATTTAATTCTTAAGCTGGTTAACACAACCTCTCTCTGTGCCCGTCATTGCCTGTTGCAGTTCAAAGTTGTGCACAGGTCCCACATATCCAAATCTCGACTGGCGCGCTACTACCCTGACGTAGACCCGCGCTGCGACAGGTGCAGGAGAGAGGAGGCTACTCTTGTCCATATGTTTTGGTCATGTCCCAGTTTGGAGAAATACTGGAGGGAAGTTTTCCAAACTCTATCCCTAATGGTTGGAGCGGACATAGAACCCGACCCTCTGATTGCACTTTTTGGCACTACAGGCGATAATGTTGAGCGCCTGTCCCCAGGAAAACACCGAATTCTGTCTTTTGCCTCGCTTTTGGCCAGGCGTGCAATATTGCTGAGGGTAATGTTTGCATTTCTCTTTTCACTGTACCCAGACAGGTTTACTCTTCCTGAACGGAATAGACCTCTTGTCAATGTTCGATGCCTGTCGTTCACATTTTGGTATCTGTTTCTTTGTTCAAAAAGTTAATAAAAATATTTCTGAGAAAAAAAATAAAGCTTAATATTTCTAAAATATGAAGTTTAGAAAACTTCTGAATAGAACCATGAATGTCCGTGAAGAGCTGAACATTTTGATACCTGAAATAGCTGAAAGTATGCTGAGTGTAGAATTTCCCCATGTGCTTGATTGGGGCATGATTTTCAGAATAAAGCTAAATATTATAAAAGTATGAAGTTTAGAAAAATTCTTGACAAGCATGAATGTCCTTGAAGAGCTGAACATTTTGATAACTGAAATTATGCTGAAGTAGAATTTTCCCATTCATTTGAATGGTGCAAGATTGTCAAAATAAAGCTAAATATTTCAAAAGTATGAAGTTTAGAAATGATTGTCCTTGAAGAGCTTTACAGCATCCACACAATAAATAAAGAACAGGAGAGCATACGTAGACAAAATCAAAGTCACAATGCAGCACACAAAACAATAAGGAAATATCAGAAACACACATGCAAAATTCAGCAAACCAAATACAATGAGAGCAAGAAAACAGGGTGCACCACTGGAGCCTTTAAAAAGTATAAAAAAACTAAACCCCACTACAAAAACTCAACTGAGAAATCCTTGTTCATACCCCGTTTCCCTCAGAAGATTAGTGCTACCACCTGTTACTCGAGGCTTGATTGCCTCTATGCCTGTGAAAAATAAAGGTCACATAGGGTGCTTTAACGCATGAAAAAGTCTTGCAACAGGGTTATTAATATCATTACCCTTGATGTTGATGTTGTATTTGGTTTTGTTGAGTCTTGCGCATGTGCTTCTGATCTTTCCTTTTTGTTTTGTGTGCTGTATTGTGACTTTGATTTTGTCTGGTTGGGTCTTTTTTTGCAATTGTCTCTTTCACATTTGTTTATTTTGTGGTTGGGGGGGCATGGTGTTGTTGGACTGTTGGGTGCCTGCTGGGAGAGCTGTGACTCTGCCCTGAGTGTGCACTCTTAGACTTTGATCAGATGTGATGTCACTTGTGTCAATTATTAGACACACTGGGTGCTCCTCTATCAATCTGACCCTTGAATGTGATTGGTCTATGTATCTAAGTGCATGTTTTTTTATTGGCTGACATCCCAATAAAAATGCCATTGGCTGATTGGTTGTTTAACTTTTTTTTTTAAATTTAGTTATTTATAAGACTCTTTGATGAGTGCTTTTAACAGACCCTGACAGAGACTTGTCGGTCTTTTCATAAAAGTTGCTCAAAACACAGGTGTTGCTGAACTTTGTTTTTTTCCTTGCCTATGCACCTTGACAGTGGGTGAAGTTGTGCCATAATGTTCTGCTGCATCCAAAATTCATCCCATATGACACTAAGATTCAAGATGAGGCCCACACTTTACAAAGCTTTATTTACCAGCCCAGTTCACCCTGTCCGCTCAGTGCAAAGCTCTCTAAAAAATCTCTTCTACTTTTCCACAAAAACTTAGAGCTGCTAATTTTATTTTCCTCGACTACCCTCATTATGAATTACTGATCATGCTGAGTGAGTGCAATGAGGGAGATTGGCCGAATTTCTCCTAAAAACCATGAATTTATTTGGCCAAGTATGTTACACACAAGGAATTTGGTACAGAACTGAGGCAGCCATCTGTGGCACCAACTCAACCGATGGCTCTAACCATTCGGGGCAACTTGAGTAGTCAGTGTCTTGCCCAAGAACACTTCTAAATGTGGACTGCAGGCACCGTGATTCAAACCTTCAACCCTCCAGTTTGGAAATGACTGCTCTACCCACTGAACCACACTTGCCCCCATTAAATCAATGTCACCTCCAACAATGGTAACAGGAAGGAAATTTTACTCATTATTTACTAGACACATTTTACCAGCAGGAAATTGAGCAATCTACTAGTGTGACAGTCTCTTGATTTGATTGGCCGACTGAGCTGACCTTTTTGCTGAAGTACTGGCTTATTTTTGTTCTGATGAAAAAGCTCCATCTTGTGGACAAATGGAAGACGTTATTGTGACACCAGGTTTGAACAGTGGTAGATTTTGAAACTGACTCAGCTTTGTTTTCCAGCAAACTGCCTCTGTGAAAGGCAAGTGGCACACTACTTCCACATCAAATTAACAGATTTCTTTCATTTCTCTGGACATTTTAACATGGATTACAGGATGGGCCTACCAGGCACAGGCTCAAAGGCCCAAGAGGTCAGGGGGCCCCTGAGCCTCTTAACCAGGTGATTTCTACAGTACTCTCTGGACATGTTGTTCCTCATGATCAGAGTACAAATCCAGGTACATGCCTTGACCCTTTGAATAATCTTCCACAGTCATAAGTAAATAAGCACACTGGGAAACAAACTATTGATATAATCTTTTATTTTAACCAATGGGATTTAGCTTTTACAGTGCATTGCTTTACAACAATTACGCATTAAGTGAATTTAGCCACCACTACAGATCGGATAACTACTGTGTATGTATTTTACATTTTTGGAGTTCATCTTAAAGATTCTGACTTCATGGACACCATGTGAAAATCCCAAATATTAGCCACACAGGTCAACTAATTTGTCCACATCCGTTCAGCCAATGAAATGGTTAGCCTTCTTATCAAACTGCATCATCTGTTAATCTCAGTGTTATCTGTACCATTAAAACTTACAGAAAGGTGGCCAATTAGAAACCTGCTGCCATCAATAAGAAAAAAAAAGTCTTTAAAAATAGACGAAACAAAATATGGCACTATTGTCACAAGGAACAATCAGTAGACACAAAAATGGGTTTTAAAAGGGACTGTGGCCAAACTCCCCTAAACAGAACTAGAAACTCCAAGCACTTCAGCCTTTTCCCGAGCAGCCTTATCACCAGCCAGCAATGTGAGGAGGAGTCACCAGTCAAATGGATATCAAGCTTTATGTGAAGATCAAGTCATTCATTCACAAGCATCACAGTAGAAAATCCTGTAGACAATTCCCTCAGTCACATCTCAGAACCCAAAAGCACCTTCAAATGACTTTCATTCATATCTGAAGATGACGTTACAGAAATATGCAGTCTTCCAGCTTTGTGTCGTCTTCCTCTCGACATATAGCACACATCCCACAAAACAAACGACACCGAGCTTCGCATCCGTCTGTCTGTATGCATCCCTCAGAACGTCTAATGTTGCAACATGGCTACACTAGAGAGAAACACTGATAAAGACAGAACCACACTGACTGTGCATATCCACAATAACACATTGCAGCAATGAACACATATATACAACCCACCTAATGCAAAAACAAACTCGATCCAGTTACCATTACACATTACATTCAGGCTCCAAAAAAAAAAAGCGATGGCAAAGTAAACAGCAGATTTCTCTCTTTTGCTCAAGTTTGGTCTCAGATTCCCTTGAATACATAACAGCTTGCAGTGCACAAAATAAGAATATAAAATTAGACTTTTAAATACTGTAGCAGCAATTCCTTTCTTTTAAAGTTGAAAGCCTCCAGTGTTACAGGTACAGGCTTTGGAGTCTCCGACATGTGGAAGGGTGAGCGATTGTCCTCTGAGCTGCGAGCTGGTGTCTCTAAGGAGGGTGTGGTGAGCGTTTGGTGCTAAAGGTGGGTGACAGGTTGGAGATCGGCTTCAGACGGGGCACCGCCAGGGGACTGAGCAGTGTGGAGGCAGCAGGATGCTGCAGCACTCCAGGCTGAAAATGTCTCTGAACAGACAGGGTTTGCTTCCCTCT